GGCTAGTGGCTGGGGCTGGTGGCTGGTGGCTGGGGCCTGGGCTGGGGGCTTGGGCTGGTGGCTGGGGGCTGGGGCTTGGGCTGGTGGCTGGGGGCTGGTGGCTTGGGCTGGTGGCTGGAGGCTGGAGGCTTGGGCTGGGGGCTGCAACCCTGTTAAACTGCATTTTGTTTCCGTTAAAACAATGCCCTGATTGAGAAGCAATACAAGTCTCGCCACTGAGGTCATGCATAGTATAACTTTTTAGGTGAGCATCACTCATAGTTCACTTTGATCAGAGCTAGATTTTACTTTTTTGAATTGAAAACAGACAGATACACTTGAATTTATAAAGACGGACATTTCGATGTTTGGATTTGTTCGGGAGACGAAACCTTTGTTTCGAAACATTACCGTCTTGAACCAATCAGTGTTCAGGGTCATGGTGGCACATGCGCATTAATACGAACATTGGCACAGCTGTTCTGTATGGGACCACACAACTCTAGAACTTCCCGCCAGAGCTTCAAGTGATAATGCGCATGTGCAATGACCCTGAAGACGGGCATGACTCATCTCCCGAACAAGGATTGTTAATAGAAAACATGGGATCTTTTTTAGAAGCGCGTAAGCCCGTGAGAACTTAAGTAGTTAAGGCGCTGGAAAGAGGAAAGAGCGAGTGTAGATGATTTATTGATTGGAATAGAAAAGAGACTGTTAAATATCATTCAGCTCTCCGAGTAACAAAGTTAATAGCAGAAGCTGCCTGACATATGTCAATTCTAAGGACTGTGGAGGCACATAATGTTTCATTCTGCACTTATCCTAACATGTGATTCAGTCGTTACTAGGAAATATAATCATGTATCAGTGACTGGGAACATTGGTAGCGAACTGTGAGCGGAGTGTGGAATGGAAACAATTACTGCTTAATAGGCAATTGGAAAAACTAAGCAGCAGATGATTCCTTGAGCAGGGAAATTTAATATTTTCACAATTGTTTCTTAATAATTCAAAAAGGTTGAGCACTGGCGTTTGTTATATCCCGTCAAAGTACAAATCTGCAATGAATTATTGACATTGAACGGCAAAGTCAGCTGTCAGAGCCTTAAGTAACGGGAGTGTGTCGCTAGAATGTGCCCATAGATTCATCGAAGTGAGCTCTTAATATGCAAACAAGATTAAGGAAATTTTTTTCTTTCCTTTGCCAAAGCACCTCGTCATCTACTATTCATAGCAGAATCCCAATTAAGCGAGCCTCCCGTCAACCCACTTCCTGGCATAACAAACCGAATTCCATCTATCCCGTCCCGTCTAACGAGTCCTTGGTTAATGTAACTCTTTTTTTCAGCAAACTGGCCTTCCTTCATAGTTATCAGGATTTCATTTTTTCAAACGTTACTGTCACCCGTGAGGAATATGAGAATCACACCCCCCTTTTTTATAAGAAGCTTTAAATAAATTTCAAACTTCTATGAGATTGGCTTGTTAGCATAAAACATTTGATGCAAACAGCAATGTTCTTGGAAAGACACACAAATTGTTAATGACCAACTTCAAATGTCTTTATAAAAAATAAACAATTTTTTCAGAAGCATTACATATAGAACCCGAAATGTCTAAGTTAGTGACATTATATTCAAAAGTCTCTTCAGAAAGTATTGGTATGGAAATTTGCCCCTGTGGCTTGTAAAAGAATGGGTGTATTACGTAACCCAGGAATATCATTCCATGCTTCCAATGCTGTTTAGTGAAAGTTGATCTTCGCAAATCCTGTTCGGCACCTGGAAATCTGGAGATCTTTACATCGAAAAAAAAATCTTGCAGTCTTGTTGATGCAAACTTTTGCCGAAATCTAATTGCCGAGAAATTTTGTCGAAAATCAAATAAAAACGTATTAAAATTTGTCATATAAACGGCTGCTAATGGGTACCAGACTGAAGATGTAAAACAAAATTACTGCCATGAGCTATTTTATTGTAAACTCCGAAAATGTTCGAATTTCCAACCCCTATGTTTACTTTGCCACAGATAATTGCGACTGTTTTTGCTTAGTTGATAGTGACCCTTTTGTTTGAAAGTGCCAATGGCAACGTTTACATTGATGACAAATTTTCAGGTGTAAAAACAATTTTCGCTTCGTAGCCTAAGAATGTTGGTAAAATTTCTGTTTGAGGATATCGATGACAGTAAAGCAAGAAAATGACCATGTTTTCCTATGTATGTCATTTGAGGTGAGAGTAATCACAAGAAATCCAGTGTTTTGGTGCTGATGGTGTCGTATAGTGTATAGTGAGATACCGTCAAGGCTGCATAGTTTGTTGATGATGGCGGCAATTATGGGGACTTTGTAATCTTAGACAAATTTTACCAACTGGACAAGATGAGATGGTATTGTAAAACTGACAAAGACTACTGCCGAGCAGGATATCACTCTACGAAAATATCCTACACCTTCGACACAAAGCTTTTGATATTGAGAAAAATCTCCTGAAAATCCTTAAAAATCGCTTTGTTATAAAACTTCTCATACGCTATTTGAGAAGAACGATACTCCCTTCGACTACTGCTTTGCATTGCAAAACGCTCCTTTAAGTTCTTTTCTGAATAGATATTTCAATCAATCATGCCATTGTCATTGCCTGGATTGTGTTCTAAGATGGTTAAAGCAAATTCAATGAAGGAACATGCTTAACAGACATGCACTAATGGTGGCCATATTCTATTATGATTCGTGTCTTGATTATTGCTTATGCAAACATATTTTACCGTCAATTAGAAACCAGCTTTCCTGCATTTAATCCTAGCTAGACTCATTAAATGTAGCGAATGAACCATTTTATCTATAGTACATGTATTCGTTGCCGTTCAATCGCCATTCCCTTTGATTTGGTAATCAAGTCAACAGTACGTAGCCGGTAAACTTGCTAGAAATGCAACTTAACATGTTTTGAATGAAATCCAAAGAATAGGAATTATCTAAAAAGCATACCCTTACAAAACATATCAATGAACAAATGCTTCGTAAATTCACGTCAGTAAAATACATGCTTGCGTGTGGCATTTAAAAAAGGGATACCAGGGATTAACTGAAACAAGAATTTCCATTTAAAATTTGCTGAAATGGAGCGAGTTGCGTCAGAGCCATAGATTCCTATTTGTACAACTGTCTGCAATGCTAAAGAAAACGCATTAAAGATATTTGCAACTGATATAAATGCTTCTGATATAGATGTCAAATTCACTGCCTCACTCACACTATTTACTTAGACAAGAGTACACCAAATATCAATTATGGAAAGTAGATGATGACGAGCAAATGGCTTGAAGGGCTGTTTCGTCTTTTCAACTTCAGATCGATTATCGAAACGAATTTTGCTAGAGCGATCAGAGACGCCGGAAAAGCTGCAGGACAGGGGGCAAACCGCCAAGAGATAGGGCAAACAATATCAAAATAAATAGAATTGCTTAAGTATTAAATGACAGTAGCAATGTTTCGAATACAAGTCTGTTCAAACTTGATTCACTCTGGCAGCATGACTGAGCGACAGCACTTTTGAGCCTGGACATAATTTGACTTCTTCATTCGCATCAAGCTCAGGACCCTTTTTCGCTGCGGTGTGCGATCTTGTTTCGCTGCGAATGAGCAATCCTTTCTCGTTTTTAAAAGTGCGACCCTCTTACGCCTCAAATTGACCATCCTTTTTCGCTGCGAATGCTCAATCCATTTTCACTCCAAAATGCGCGATTTTTTTCGCAACAAATGCGGGATCCTTCGTGGTCGCTTTTGCCGACTTGCTATTTCGTTTATTATTTTTTTGCTAAAGGCGCATGAAAAGGTTGTAACTAAAATAGAATCTGACTTTGAGATACGAACGACAGATCTATGAGAACATTTGGCATTTGTTCCGGAAAATTTTAAACACTTCCAAGATTTTTCAAAACTGGCTCGTCTTTACAAAGTCTAGGACGTCCCAAAGTTAGTCACTTGCCTTGCCGTTTTTTGAAAGCGTGCGACGTCAATGGTTTACTAAGAGAATGATGAAGCCAAAGCTATTAAACAGACATCCCAGTATTTGCGCTATTGACTTTGTTCTGGTTACACATTTGTTGGATCTTCAAGCAGAGAAATTCTTATAAATAAATATTAGATAAATTGATATAAATCAAGATAAGCTAATGAAAAAAAAACAAACAAAACACTGCCTTGTTCTGAGCTTTGAACAGTATCCCTATTAAGCGGAGTTGCAACTTAAACTCCGTAAGCAACTTAAACACCCTGCGTGCATTGAGCACTTTCAAAAATACAGATAAAGAATAATCGTCATTATTTCTGAGTCTTTACTTATTTTGAATGAAATTTAGATGAAGTGAAACTAATGACAAATCACCCCTAGATTAATCAGATATCCAAATATGTTTTCTAGTGCCAAAAATAAACAAAACATTAGTTAAACTGTAACAAAAAAGTTTATGATTGCATCTCCGAATAGATTTGTATATGGTTGTGTACGCTGTCGGTACCAGATGACCTAATGTCCTTATCGATGTATAGAATGTAAGTATAAGTATTTTTTCTCTTTGAATTTTTGTATTGATGATGTAAATCTAAGCAACTTGCAAGATTGTGTGTTAAAATTAAGTTTAAGTATAAAGAGAAAATAAATTCTATAACATATGAATGATGGTCAAAAATTGCAAAAACTTGATCTCAAGTGGCTACGGCTGACCCAGTAACTAAACATTGCTTATTCAAGATCATATATGATACATCAAGAACACGTATTTTGGTTACTTGAATCTTAGAAAAAAGGTTGAGAAATCAAGTGCAAAAATAATAATATAAATAGAAATTATAGAACATCACATGTTCATAAGAGAGACCAAAAGTACAATTCATTCATTCAAAATCATATTTCAATCGTGAAGTTTGAAGCCTAGCAATGCTATATCATGATTTCTCTCACTGTCTAGGCGTGCGCAACTAAAATGTTTCCAGTATCAAAAATGTATTGCAAAATTACCTACTCCGACTGGTTAGTCACCCAAAAGCCCATCGAGTCTTTCGAGAGAGAAGCAGCATCTCTGATCGACACGTTTTGAATGTGTAGTGTAGGCAGGTGCACGAATATCGCTCTTGACTTTTTGTATTCCATGTGAGTTGAAGAGAACAAAGCCGGCTCTTGCATTGTAAATGATTGACCATAGTTGACCAAATTTTTGGTTTAATTTGAAATTAATCGCCTTATATTTTGCTTTCTAGCATTTCTTTTAGTCGAAAACACTCTTCAAGTGCTTGTTATCTTCTAACTCTGTTCCTGAAGAGGCGTTCTAAAGAGCTTTTATTTACTATATTTAGAGAGCTAGATAATATACCTTAACCGTTTCTACGCAACTAAATCATAGATGAAAATAAATACCGAAGTGCGAAAAGATGATAATTCGTAGAAGTAGGCTTCTATCAATTGATGAAAAAATAAAATTTTGAATTAGGGATTGAAATTGTTATAAAAACAATTGATAATGTGGTTAGCGTGTCTAAAAAGCCAGCTCTATGCGATAAAATAGTCGCACTTCCTATTGTATGTTTCTAAGAACGTTAGATAATTAAACATCTAGTACTTTTGTTTGGCTAATAAGCCTTAAAGATGATGCGAGGAATGGCAGAGTTGGTGGTGTAATCAGGGTAAATGCGATTAACAAAAAGAAAGAGCTTTGACTTTGAAAGAATAGTTGCAGATATATGGTTATCAGTGGACATATATAATGAAAGGCCAGAAACAAAGAGACCAGAACCAAAGAGAGATTTGCAGGACTTACATATCATCTCAAATTCATTCTCTCAAACTGCGATGAGGTCATCAAACGGTAACATCTCGTAAGTTTAGCATTACGAAGGCTTCATTTGCAAGTCTTTGATAATCTCATCAAGCCGATGGTTGCATGCTTATCTTAAACATTTATTAACATAAACATAAAAGTACATTTCTCAAACAACGCGCCTAATTATTTAGATCAATGACGTCATTCTCTCAATGGGGGAATCGCTTGTTATGGCTATCCCTGAATTGCGGCATTCAGTCTCTGCTTTTGCATCAAGTAGAGCGATTGAGTGCTGAAGATGGGTGGAAGAATAGGATACAGAGAAAAGAACGTTGTGCTATGTGGAGATTATATTCTTAGATTCTTGTGAGAGTAAGAACTATTAGTGATTCACAGAGGTGTTGTTGGTGAAGTTTATCTTTTAATAAAAGTTTGGTTCTGAAGTATTTACCTTATATGAAAAGGCGTGGTTTTAAAATGCAGTGGCTTTAAGTTTCTTTCAACCCGTTATTATAAACCTGTCTATGCTGAATAGTAAGATTTCAGAATGTATTTTCATTCATAAAAGTTAACTTTATCAAAATTTTCTTTGGCCTAAGACACGCAAGGTTGATAAACACTGATTTTTAAGAGCAGAATATTTACGAGCAAACATTTGCTTGATTATTCCTATTTTTTTTATGTGGAACAATATCAATTTCCAGCTTTACAGGCATTGAAAATATACTCCTGATATGTTTATATAATTCTAAATATTATAATGTGATAGCCGTAATCTCACATTGAATTCACAAACTAGCAAACATATAAAAAGGACAGTTTTTAGCAATGTAAATAGGGAATACATTAATCCAATTTAGTTCTACTCACCCTTAATTTATCAGCATGCCAATCAGTGGATCTATCAATTTCGTTAGAATACAGATTTCTGATTACCAAGCAACTTCTCTGGTTCCTATAAAACGCAAAAAACTAAGTTGTTACAGACTGTTGGGGTCGATCTGTCAAGATCATTTTGGAGCAAATACTATTACATTGAGTGCAGCGTAATGGACTTTGAGACAAAATTTTGTCTGAGAATTCTTGTGTCCAAAGCATAAACTTGTCAGAAGCTTGTCTTGAAAGTTTGCATTCTGGAATTTTTTTTGAGCTTGCGCAGAAGCAAAAACACAAGAAATCGAATAAATATTGTTCCTGGGGTTGCAAAGTGAATATCTTCTTTCCAACGTATATATGCTTAAAAATTTTAGTTCAAACAAATAACATTATCGTCTTTCGAAAAGTCACTATTGTTTTCCAATTCTCTTTCCTATGTCTTATAAAAAATCATGACCTACAAGAAGTGGTTCGTCATTATTTTGTTTCGTGATACCTTTCAAACATCCCCTATGATATTGAACATTATTCAAAAACGTTTGCTTTCGATTAACATGCTGTGCAAAAGAATCATGTCAGAGTTAGGTGGTGCAAGATGACCATGCAAGAAAGTGGCAAAATGAAAGTCACCGAAGCAGCGGCAGATTAAGGGAAAATTAGAAGGAGGGGCAGTTGGTAGTGGGGGCGCTGAAAATTTTTCAGAAATTTATGACGAGTGTACGCTGTATTCACTTTGTAATGAAATTGTTCACAATAATGTTGTATACTTTGAGGAAATCTTTGAAGCAAATTAATCTAGAAGTCTCAGAAACTTGTTCACTTGCTTTTCATACTTCAAAAGGGGCGCAAAATTTCCAAAAAGGGGTGCTAGACTTGCTTCAACTCGGCGAGGGAGAGGCAACTGCCCCTAGTTGCCCCCTCCCTAAATCCGCAACTGCACCGAAGGGGCATTCAACTTTGCAGAGCCATGGATTCATTCCCTAGGAAAATTTGATTTTAATGCCACCTTTTGGCTATAGTGGCCTCTTGAGAAACCAAAGCCAGACAATTTAGTTAGTTAATTTGAACTGAATGACACCAGTTACAAGGATCCTTTTCAAGTAGAAAACTTTCAATAAGTACTACATATTGACCACATATTTCAAGTTTCTAATTCATAGATAGCTTGAAATGAGCAAACTTTATCAATAAAAGGAGCACGCATCGTGAAGGAAGAAAAGTTGGGAGCTTGTGTCCTCCCTAGTACCCTTGTTTTCCAGCTGCTAGTTCAGCACAGGAAAGTAGCATGTGCACCTGGGACCAAGCCCAAATATCGCAAAATGTTTAGCATTAGTGTTAGTTTCTTTTCTTTTTACAAAACAGGGTCTCTGTCTTCAAAAGCAACCAAGTACACAAAGAGTTAGCTCAAGAAATAGCATAGTTCTCTTCCAAGATGAGGATACAAATTGAAAACATTCCAATGAAGAACACCGATTAGGAGATCAACGTTTGCCAAGGAAGTAAGTTTTTTCCGAAGATTTTTTATCCGATATCTTTAAAAGCGTCTGAAAGTATATTCTCGTCAGAAATTTATTGTTCTTAATACATCGTTCTGAGATTTAAAAAGCCAATATTCGTTGGAAAATGAGGGGGGAAAAGCTGAATGCTTCTTGTTTGAACATAAATGCACAATTCGACTGAAGACCGATGCACGCATTAATAAACATACTAAGTACTTTAAAATAATTGATCTGTTGCGACCTAAAAGCATTATCGTGCACTACGTGTAAAAATCTTAGAAGAACTCAAGACTCACAACTCAAAACTATCTGATAAATCTACACGTATGTGAGGTTCTTATATATCAGTTTCCAAATCAGACGGATGAATAAAACGAAAAACCCCAAAAAGTTATCAAAAGTGGCGCTGGTTTCTTGTCTTTCTCAAAATTGTTCAGCTATAAAACTTCGGTACGTCTTATCAAAGGAAGTCATTTAATGAAAATAGCTTTTATAAAAACGTGCATGCTTTAAAGGTAATTTGTGAATTCGAAAATTGAAGAGTACCACAAGGATACATTCTCGGGTCATAGATTACATTGAGGAAATCAAATAATGTCCACTTCAAAGCTGATATGATGATGCTACTTTAATGGTTCCAGCATAGCTTGAGTGTGAACAGATATTTGCACTTTTTATGTACAATGAAAAGTGGTATACAATTAGTAATAACAAGAAGGAAAGAGTGCAATCAGAAATTAAGTCAAGGGCATGCTCATTAAACCACTGCTAGTACAAATCTCTTTGAGCTTTCAGTTTTAAGAAATACCGCATTTGAAAATCCCTCTTGTAGACACGTGCACATGCTGTCACACTTTGATTATGATTTGCCATACCATATGCGCAGAGAGTTGCCGGTGTGAAAAGCTTTTAAGCATATCTAAAAACTGTACCGCTCCTCTATGCCGATTCTTCTTTGACGTTCATGTCCCAAGCTTTGATGTTAATCATAAAAAAGCCGGTAGAGCATTCGAGTTCAAATGTCTTCATTCAATGAAGGGCAAAAGAGTTTAAGTTTTCATCAAATGCTCTATTTAGAGTATTGAATTGTGTTATCTGCCATAAAATTATGAAATAGTCACACATGATACAACAGTCGAATATTACCAAAATAATTTGCTGGCTTCCCTATGAAACGACTCTGATGAAGATCATTATAAAAAAGATCGCACATCTAGAAACATCTTGCAGTTCTCTTTTAGATGGTATGGTCAAAGTTAAGAAATTCTACAAAAAATCTTCATGATGTCTTACTTCTTAACTCTTTGTTTCACCAAAAAATACCAATTTTCAAACCAAGGCAAATTGCCAGTTCCCTCGAAAATGTTGTAAGACATTTGTAATTGCAGGTAAGCACGTGATGCCTTAAAGGTAGCACGAGGCATCGTGCCAGGTATTATATCTATCTGATCGTACCACCTGTATAATTTACCCTTAAATAGAGTTTTGATGTAAAGAAATGAGGGAAAAAATGAAGAGGGCGAAGAGCACATGTGGCGGCCTTTGAGCCTGCCGTGTCCTGGGCACTGCAGTGTAGATTTCTACAATAGATAAAAAAGAACAAAGAAACATCAAGAAGTGTGATCTCTGGCTCATCTCTGTTATGTTGTCTTCCATCCACAACCGTATGGTTGACGGGAAACCACGACCACGATTATTCTTCAGCCAAGCACCACGATTATTCTTCAACCAAGCACCACGATTATTCTTCAACCAAGCCCCACGATTATTCTTCAACCAACAACCAATAGCTCTACCAATCAATGAGCGAGCCTCAACCAAATTTCCTCGCAAGTTAAAAGCAGTATCGCTTATAACAAAAACCTGCGCTGTCAAAATAAATTAACAATGATAGATAATATTAACAGTGGAAGAAGCTCCTGTCCCCTAGCATATATCCAATCGGGCGCGGCAGACAAACTTTGCCGTTAAAATGGAATAGAAAAGCCAGCAGTTACTTTCTGCATTACATCAATCATGAAATTATGAACACCAGAACATATGTCATTATCCAGCACACGTAACAATTTCAAAATATGATTTTGCTTGATGTGATATGTAGATCTACTCCCTAGGTACGTAGTCAATCAAATATGTTCTCATTAACCCCTCCCCCTTCCCCCACGGCCCCCTCCCTCAAAAGGCCTCTTATGGCTGCATAGAGAAAACAGAGGTTTACAGTAACATCAAGCAGTTTACAATGTAACTTTGATTTTAAAATAAACTTTACGTAGAGAAAAAAGAAAAATAATGAATGCTTTCTATTCTTATTGTGTGCAAACCGTGCTTAGAACATCTTTACATTTAGACGTTGGTACGAAATCAATTCTTAGTAAGTTTATTTTGTCATTCAAAAATGACTGAATGTTAAACAAGACAATAAATTCCTTTAATTGAGCTGAGAAAAGTTTGATTAACAGTTGAAATTCAACGTGATAAGTGGGAATCATTGAAACTGAGAATTTTCATAATCTCAAGACACTTGAATGCTAAATTATTAACAGTCAAGGAAAATATAAAGAGCAAGATGACCCGCGGCTTAAAAGTTTCTCTCTTTTGGCTACCCTTGAATGTTTGCACGAGACACGGAGCCTGAGAGTATTCGCTTCTGGTTAATCCTTTTGATAAATTTCAAGGCTTTTCTCTCAGATTATGGCCAGGATGCCCCATGTACCTAATTCATATGCTGATTCATTTGGCATCTTCTTGAAATCATTATAGGTAGCATAATTAAATAATTCACATTCACTAGTTCTATCATCTTCATTCTCAACTTTGTTTCAATAACATCTGCTTTGTATCAACATACAGTTTATCTCCTCTATCTATATTCATAAGATTAATAGTATAATTTCATGATTTTATAGCTTGTGTTTTTGAAGTTTTTACTTACTACATGAATTTTATTCATACATCCATGTGTTTGCAGTAAAGGTTTCTTACTTAAAAGCGTTTGAACTTTTTGAAAGCAATAAGCCTTTCCAAGCGTCTTTCCAACGTTTTAAAAAGTAGAAAGACGTTTTAGACGCAGATCTCTTCTGCTTTTCTTCTCTGCACTTATATGATCATAGACAGTAGCTTAGCGAGGGGGAGGTAGGGGCGTGACAAGGCCCTCCACCAAGCTCAGAAGGTTGGTCACTGAGAAAAGCGTTAGATCTGCAATAAAATTGAAACCTTGGGGAAAGGGGATAATGATTCAGGCAGAAATTAAAATTGGGACTGGATTCAAGAACGGAAATTTTACCCTCATTTTGATGAAAGGGTTTATATAGAAAATTCATTCGCTATCTTGAGACATTCTCGATATCATGAACACTTTTTTACAAGAATAATTTTCATATGCACATTAACTTCTTACTCAGTGAAAACAAAGTAACAAAGGAATTCCTTCATTTAAGATAATAATATAGCTTGTTCAGAAGACATTGCCCCATCCCTCATATGCATCATCATCATCAAAGCTCTCAAATAGAGCTTTTTCGGTATATCCAATATGAGATACGAGAGCCTACAAAGCCCTAGGCTGATGTCTTCAGAACCCTATGTTCTTTAAATTCTTAACCATTCATTTCCATGCTTTCGGTTTTATGCTGGAAAATATTTCCCCAATGTTACTAATTACCTTTTGGACCCTATCAAGAAAGGCTCGTGAGCTGGGCTTGAAAGAAATCACTGGCTATTCTCTAATCTCGGTTGAAGATCTTGGTAATTATACAAAATTTACAGACGACGCTTGTGCTACGCAAGCATCCTATAATGCATTTTTAGACAGTCTGAAATCAATTTTGGTTAATCCGTAGAAGTTTACTGCCATTGTTTGGATCGTCGCCACGCTCGCAAAGGCCCATTGTTAGCAATGAGTCTTTAAATAAGATATCATATTTGGTGACAGCGGTGGGTTCGAAAGTTAAGTCCCGCGGATGTTACTTTTCTATTGGTATGCCAAGCCGAACACATGTGATCAAGCAAATCAAACGCATCAGCAACAAGAATATTGGTAGCGTTCAAACGTGAAGGAAGGGTTTCTTGAACAAAGACAAAACACATGCAAGCACTCGTTATGAAACTGTTCGTTACGACTGCTGCTCTTATCTTGCAAGTGATTTGGACAAAAAGTTCAATTGCTTTTCCACAAGTGCAGTCAAAGAAATGATAACGTTGATTAGCAGCTAATCAAAACAAGCTAATTGTAACAGTACAAATTCTACTGTAGCTGTTAATTTAGTGAAAAGCTACACAATCTTATCGCATTGTCAAGAGTTTTAAAAAGAAAACTACTATCTTAGATGGTAAAGCTCTAACATTGGTTCAGATATTCACATGATTGGAAACACTGAGCGAGCATGTGAGATAAGCAGGTAAAATTTCATCGCATCGGCAATCTATCGTTCCCGTGTTGAGTCGTCATTTCACAAAACTTTAAGGCTTGCCACAAATATGATCAGATAAGTCTCATTTCTTGAAAATCGACGATTGCAAGTAATCAAGATGCCTTTAGGACTTGATAAAAAACGAAAGTACTGCCAGAAATTTACTTAAAAATAGGTATTTGGGGATATGCAACTCTTCTTCATATTAACTGCTTCTCCGTATGAAGATCGAAACACCTCCATAGCAATATTTCCCGAAGCACAAAGTTAAAGAAAACGACTGATGCAAGCACAATATGTCGTCTTTTTCTGCTAAAGGAAATCTGATTTTTTGATGTAACCAATCTTTTAAACTAAAAGGTTACAATGCTATTTTGAAATTTGTTTAGTTTGAGAAAAGCTTATAAATGCATATAGATTTATCTAAACACACGCTGGCCGTGGTTTTCGTTCTTTGAAGCCATTAATTCTATTCTTCTCTTTCTTCTCTTCTCTTGAGGATCACTCAGAGGGAGTTTTACCACTTCAAATAGCATTTCTTCTAATGCCCAGTTTGCATTTATCAGTCGAAACGTATATTTACCTACATGACATAGAAGTATTTGCCACTATACAGGTACGATTTGCTGCTTAAAAACTGGTTTTGCAGGGAAACGCCTTAAATGTGCTTTGTGTAGATAGTGTGAAGAATTAACATGCTTACATTTTAAAAAGGAAATGATTCGTTTTATTACTGCAGTATTGCATGGAATTCAACACTTGAAATTATGATTATTGAACAGATTCAACATAATTTTCGACGTTGTGACGTCAAAAACGCCGTTTACTAAAATTTGCAATTCAATGTTACTGCGACCTTGTTTATTCATACCTTGTTTAATTGCAAAGAATACCTCCAAGTCTTTTGAATTTATGCATCCGCCTTATCCAGTCTTGTTGATTTATTTAAACAGTTGATTAACAACTAAAAAGACCTTGAACAAATCATTGTGTTCGTCTGGTTTCGCTATGGGTTTGTTTGAGTTTCCCCCGGTATATTAACAAAGTTCTCTGATACCTCCCTGTTCGTCAGCGTAATGATTAAATATGCATTATGTACGTCATTGACTGAATCAGGCATGGACAAATCTATTAGGTCGACATGCAGAGTAATTCGATTAATGATCTATGTAAGCACTTGCTTTTGGCATATATTTGAAGTGAAAGAAACCTCACAGATGCATGATTTGCCACGATATCATCACATTCTGAAAGCAGACATACAATCACTGCCAAAAGTCTTGGAACACTAACGTAGGTTTTGAAAGGAAAATTCAGCCATCCCCCTCTCCCCCTAGAAACAACGTTGATTTACTATAGAAAAAGGAAAGTGGTTATGGAGTACGCTTTTTTGTGGATTGTTTGATATTTTTCTATACTTTCAACATTGTTTTGGGGGGAAAGGGGGCTGGAAGTGGTAGTATTCAAGAAAACAAATGAAAAATAGAAAAGCACAGCGCAAAGTGTTAGGTGTTCCAAGTAATCTTGGCAGTGATTGTAGCTCAGAGGTCATGCTTGCGTGTTTACAATAAGCACTTATCAAATGCAATACAGGCTGAACATAAACAAAAGCCACAAATGTTACACGATCGTCAACTCTGGCCAATTTACTGGTTGGTAGTGATGTTTATGTTTGGTTTGGTGATTCATTGAAGTGATTTTATTTCCGTAATAAAAAAGAGAGATCAGTGGGATAGTTGACACTTTTGGTACTTTTGCATCATTCACCACTGAATAACTTCATGAAAAGCGCCTTGCATCTTCCTTTCAATTTGCTCATGAAACCGCATCATTGATGAGACCAATTTGGCATTCTTGATCGTAATGAAGGCTAACATCTCATCTCACTTAAGGAAATTACAAACAACGCGAAAATTTAGATGAACCTTCTAAATTACCTTCTCAATGCCGAAAAGTTCTCGACTCTAGGGAAATCAGGAGGTTGACTGACTTTAATGATGACCGTCGCACCTTCTCATGACTACTTCTCTTTCCCTCTCTGTTTGGCTCTCTGTTGTTTATTAATACCAGTTAGGCAAATATTGCCTCACGCTTCTATCGAGGTTCCAGTGTTTCGAGGTTCCACAGCCTCAATGAACTTTATTTAATAGTCAGTACTTCGCTACTGCCTTGGACATTGCAAACAATTTCCATCCTATCAAAACCTCTATCTCTACTCATTGTTTGCGAATTCACATTTCCATAGTCTAAGACCCTGGTTTTACTCCAAGTAGTCTGCTTTTATCCAAGAGAATATAATTAGAGATTTCTTTGATAAAAGGACTTGAAAGATTACTTAATGATAAATAAAAGATTAAGCTTACTTATTCAGACGTTATTTGTTTACTCAGATAAAGGGAATACCTATGTCTTCGACCGGTTCACACGCTAATGCGACAGTCAATGGTGTTTACTTAGAAACAATTTACAGACTGGTTGAACAAAGGGTCGCTTTGCTTTGCAAGTTTGCAGTCGGGTAATGGGTACGATTTTTGTACGACCATTCAACCATCTAATCTAAAATGGCGCTAAAAAGATCAGATCTGTTTCCAATGGACGTGAACGAATCCGATTCTTTGAAAGAGGCACATTCTAGGTACTCTCGGTACCAGACATTCTCTATTAGAAAAGAAAGCTGGGTCAGTGCTCCCCCTCCTTGTTCTTTTAAGTCCATATGAATCCAATTCTGAGAAAGAGGCACATTCCAGGCACCCTATGTACCAGACATTCTTTATTAGAAAAGACACCTGGGTCAGTGCTCCCCCTCCTTGTTCTTTTAAGTCCATATGAATCCAATTCTGAGAAACAGGCACATTCCAGGTACCCTATGTACCAGAGATTCTCTATTTGAAAAGACAGCTTGGGTCAGTGCTTTCCCCTCCTTTGTTATGACCGGGCAGATACAAACACAGAAACAGACGTGTCCTTAGCGCATATTCCAGTTCTCACTGTTTTCGAATTCATTGATAAGATGACATGTCATCATATGATCAGCGCAAGCAATACGTCATTAATTAGCATTGCCTAATGACACCATTAGAAAACACGATGATTCTACAGATGGGTCATCTAGCATGACATCAAATGCGCACTGTCAGTTCCCTACGTTACACCTTGTTCTGATTAGTCCATATTAATATTCCTGGAACAGGTACACATACACATCTTTGTAAATGCAACAATTTATAGCTGAAAATAGCAGCTGCTTGATATAAGGTCCGATTTAAAATGAAAAACAGAACAGAGCTTACAGAAATCACGGCAACCGTAGCCATTCAGTACTTATGTCACCAAATAGTTTTCTTCCTCCTGATGCTGAACTTAACAAAAAAGGCGTATATAGCATTTAAATTTTTGTTCGCTGTCTGCAAAGAGCATTTGATGTAGTGTAGTTAAAGCCAAGGGCTACATACTGTTCTCCTAATAGAGCAAATAAAGCAAAATGCAAGTGCGAAATCAATTTAAAGAACTTCATATTGCTCAAAAGAGTGCTTTAAGAGTTATTTAATCCATAAAATGTTAGTCGGGTTTTTCATAAGCTTGGAGCGGAAGAGAAGAGTAGCGTCCATCAGAAGACGGAAAATTCCTCCTCCATTTCTCCGCCCCTATATTCTATTTCCTCGCTCAAAATTGTGTACCTCTAGTACCCAGGGTATAATCGGGTCTACAAAACTGTATGATGTCACACCCCTATATCTTTGAAGTTCTTCGAATTAGTAAGAAAATTTGAAATTCATCGAAAAGTCTTGGTTGAATGCCAAAGCACATCAGACACTACTATAACATAACGCTAATGCAAAAGTATCTAATTTCAGAAAAGAAATGAAAGAACCGTATGATTTTAAGGTTCTGTTATCAAAACCATACCATACCATACCATACCATACCATACCATACCATACCATACCATACCATACCATACCATACCATACCATACCATACCATACCATACCATACCATACCATACCATACCATACCATACCATACCATACCATACCATACCATACCATACCATACCATACCATACCATACCATGCCATGCCATACCCTACCATGCCATGCCATGCCATGCCATACCATACCATACAATACCTTACCATACCATACCATACCATACCATACCATACCATACCATACCATACCATACCATACCATACCATACCATACCATACCATACCATACCATACCATACCATACCATACCATACCATACCACACCATACCATACCATACCATACGAACCCATTTACGTCCCTGATAGCTCTATAAGGTATTTATTTATTTGAGTTGAAAATACACAATGTTTAATATGACAAATACCAGCAATGATCTCGATTACCTTGTTGGTATACACAAACATGTACAGAGCCACGAAGCGTCCTTTACTAGAGAATGGTATGAATAAAATATGTTGCTTTACAATCTATCAATGCTTTGGTTTTCAGCTTTTTTACCGCCTGCGTCGTTACTGAATATCCATCATTATAAATAGCATTTGCATGCAGGTTGCTTTGTATTAATTTGTCGATTTTTGTTGACTCAAAAACAATTTATTGATAGAGTTGAGCGATTCAAACATATACGAGCAATTCATCTTTTTCGGTAACTTCGCTGTTGCGGATAAGCGCGTCAAGCTCAGCATTCGGTTTTGATTGACTGTGCAAAGACGGCGGAAGGGTATCATCATTTGCTAAGCTATAGAATTCAATATACTTTACAAAGAAACCGTTTGAATATTAAAGGCGGTACCGATGCGTTTAAGTTTTGACTTTGTGTGTATTGTAGTAGAAATTTGCGCGTCCTACTAATAATACATAAAATTACTGGCAATAAATCTTGATTATGATAATGGTTTTGGAACCCCTGATGTTCTTGTCATTTATGTTTATGCTCGTTATGGGTAATGTGACTTGCACAAGAGATGCTCATAATTTCTTTATATTTTAGCAAACATAATGTGTTTGAAATGACAAAGCTATAACTGTTTTTTCTTTGGAATAAGAAACGAAAACGCTATAACCTACATATAAGGCTGAAATTTTCTCCACACTAAACTCACTAGAGCATCAGTCAACTCTAATTCTCTAAGAGTATGGGGTCATCTCTAAGAAATTTCTCTCCTAGAGCACGCTATTGCAGGTCGTTTAAATTTTTTTTGGGTGCTACTTTTTAAATTTTAAAAATTTTTTTTTACCGTATTGCTTTGTATGAAAGAAAGGAAAATACATGAAGTAAATGAGACAAATTTTTGGAAGTTAATATAAAGAAAATTTAATGTTTTTGCCAGAAAATGTAAAAGGCATATAAGCAAATATTTGACTTAACCATTCCACTTTGAATTCTAGACAAAGAATTCTAGAAACTCTCTCCTAATATTCGTATAAAAGTTTGTATAAAGGTTTTGTGATGCGCATAAGGCACTTTGCACGAGAAAAGTTTTTACCCTTTCCATTTTAATTTAGTAAAATGTTTCAGGCAGTTACTTCATGTTAGTTTATATAGCCTATACTTAAAACACAACGCAACAAAGGTTGGTTTGTCGTATAAATGCATCAACTAATGGTCAGTAAAAAAATGCTTGCAAAGTTAAATTAGTTACAAATATTTCCAAAACTATGTCACATGCTGTAATTACAATATTACTCAGTCTTTAAATTTATAGAGATTGTGACAAGCAGTGTTTGAAATAGCATGAGCAATGTGAGCTCTGGACAAGACACAATTGTAATGAAAAGTCGAGTTTAAGCTCAAAATAAAACCTTGATAAAAGCTCTAATCCACATTTTGCAATAGCAAAAAGCAAAATAAATTTTGATTTGCAAGAATTGGGTAAGTTTTGAATCTATTTACTCATAAATCAATTTATTTTGCTGTGCTATCTAAACAGTATAGACATGGAATGGAAAGCTATCTCCTTTCCAATTTCGTACTTTTTTGCCAAAAGTTTGCTGATATATTTCATAAAACAGTTGCATTGAACAACGTAGAAAAATCCATTTTTATGTTGCAGGCGTGTAGCTGTTTATGACAAAGCTGATCTTGATTATCACAAATGATTACATAATTCATAACCAACTTACTAAGAAATCTTGTGTCCCATATTCTAATGCGCATAACGTCCTTCAATCTCTTTACAGTTTTCAGTTTTGCTAGCGAGATATCCGATGCAGCTACTATGAAGCTACAGTATTGGCCAATCGTTCTTCCAGTGCAGGTGATATCAATCAGTAGTAGTTCCTATTCAATAGCGCTACAGTAATGAGATGCCGACAGAATGACCAATTCAAATATAGATAGCCTCTGCATTCATTAATTTTGTAAGCATTGATCAAGGTATCAAAGTTCGGCAGCTTTTCCATCTAACCACGCAAAGAACGTTAAAGGAACAAGAAGATAGAACTCATCAGTGCTGCGGATCTCAGTCCTGATATAGCTACTTGGCAATCAAATTTTTTTTTATTTTTTAAAGTAGTTGTTTTATCGCGTGGAATCTATTTTGCTTTGAAATAATTTTAAGATATATATCCCTTTGCAAGCGAGTAGCCGCAGATAAAAGTCAATGCCAAAATATAATCATAGTTCAATTGAATTCAAAAAGCTGGAGCACGTTGTCAATAAATGTCATTCAAAGTAGAAATGAAGTTTACTGAGTATTTCCTATGTTTTAAAAAGCTAAGTGAAAACACATATGTCGAAAAGAAGTTCAATTCTTTCAAGGTTGAAATTCTTAGAAAATAACCCTTCGTCGTGCTAAGGAATCGTACTAACTGAACTTTCTAAAAGAAACACCAGGAATGTATAAAGTTCTATGGTCATTCTAAACCAATGAACTATATAAAATATATGTCTTAAAAACAATATATTTTTCCTGAAGAGGCAATTAAACTAATTGCTATGTGGATGATGAAATTGCTCTTTCTTGAGCTTTTAATTAAAAAACTGCCTTTGCGCCATAGGAAGCCATTGGAGGTTTTTTGAGCATTCATATTCCCGACCAGATGATTCCAGCAATAACTAGTTTCCAGGCATAAGCAGATCAATAGTCAACCAAGATCAGTAAAAATTAATTTACGTTCTGAAGCATTATTGGGTAACATGCAAAGCTAAAAAGAACACGAATGATGGCACTTTGGCTGAAATTCACCGCCTGCATTATAACTTATTTTATTCCTTATTGTAATGTACAAATTACATTTTATGTTTGACACTGTTCATCTGGACATCATTCCATTGTTTGTTTGCGATAAGTAGAAAATCTAGTTTTGAGGTATCAGATGTTGTAGATTTTCTCGATATGAACGATTCCGCAAATATCTTGAGGAGCTTACAATATGTTTTGGTGCAATTTGCTAAAATACGTCTAATATTTTGCATATTTAGCGGACTAATAAAATAAAATATATGATTGTCAAGCCTGACACAAATATTCCAATTACAATGATATTGATTTCATTCACCAAAAGTATGAATAGTCAACAACTCACCTTTTTCTTCCTATCAAATCGACTGCAACTTTGCCTTATCTCAAATTCAGTCAATAATACTGCTTTGTTGCAAAGATATTGGACAGCTTTTGACAAGGCCATCCATCACCGTGTAGATGATTTCTGCTACAGGAAAGACTAGCTTTCGTTTCCTTTAGTAGCCTGGCTATCATGGTGTTGATATTTCACAGTAACCAGTTGTCAAAGCAAACAAGCCACCACCTGTTTTGGTATATCAGGATGCTTTGTTTAAACCGATGCATCAAACAGGCACTGCTTCTCAGTTCAGACTCAGTACGTTCCGATATACCAAATTGGTAAGGTGATAGCGTTTCAAAATTGAAATCAGCTTGTCTCAATCATGTATTTGATCGTCGACCACCATGAAATCAGCCAGCCGTGGTTCTCTTATCGATCGCACACTGATTGTGGCTGTCGTAATTTCATACCATGCAAGAACCACAACCACACTTTTTTCAGCTGATAAGGCTGGGTATCGTTAAGACTGATGAGCAATGGCTTCTTGCGAAGAAAACAATTTTTCCAAGGAATATATACATACAGCAAATTTTAAACCAAAATGGCAAAAACAACAATCTAATAATGTGGTTCTTAATAAACCTTTATTAGAATTCGTGTAATGACCGAAAAGTAAAAAATTTTAAACCCCGGTGGAGGGAACTTTGAGAAGCCTGTTGCCAACTTCAATATTTCATATAAGTGCAAATATTCTGCGGAAGTTCCTCTATGCAATAAACGATACGATGCAAGAAATTTTCCTTTGTTATCTCGATATTGAACGATAGAGTATTAGAAATTCAAGAAAAAGAAGCATGTTTTATGTCATGTCATTTTGCATTTGCAGATCTTGCAGATCACTCTATGTTGATCAAACACTGCAGCTCTAGAACATCTTACAAAGAATATTTACAGACATAATCTAAGAAATTGCTGATACTTTTCTATAATTGACTAAACCACTATTACAAATCATAATCTAAAGTTTTAATTTGGCTTAAAGGCTATGCTCTTAATTAGTTTTCCAAACGAGACAACTTCTCTTTTAAACAGTCCCCTTTTATACAAGTCCCCCTGTAAGGCTACTGTTTCACTACTTCTAATCTTAAGTTTCTTTACTCTATCTTGCAGGGCCGCCGGAGCCAGGAGGGCCACGGGGGCACAGGCCCCTTCTGTTTGCAAAAAATATATAAGCAAGTGCCCCTTTTCGAAAAATATATTGCGTGTATTTTACAATGCCTGATATTCTGCCTTTAGAAGCTAAGTGAAATAACATAACTCTGGACGTTGTTGGAGGAGCATGCTAGAAACATTCTTTTTCTTAAACTCACGTCCTGGCAAGTTAAAAAGC